TTCTATAACAAAATATAATCCATTATAACCTTTAACCAATATAACCTTTCTACCCCATTACGCTTTCTATCTGAATCTATCTAATTCTAAACAATTTAATAACAATAGATTCATAAAATACCCTTTGTTATAGAATTTTTAAAAATCTTTTTAACAAATATAATGTAAGTAATGACTTTACTGAAAGAAATATTAGTTTGATAAAAGCCTTTTTAAAATGTCCCTAAAACAAAGAACAGCAACAAAGTATACTAAAAAAAAAAGTAACAAAGAAACAAAAAAGAACTATTTAAAAAAGAATGTTAAAAGTTTAGCTAAATGATAACTTATTAAATAAAGAACGTTATTATTTTACTTTTTTATATTATTTAAAATTGAAACAGTATACTAAAATAACAATCGGTAAAACAAACAAAACTTGGTACTATAAAACACAGTTTTAAAAATCCCAATGTAAAGTCAATGAGACTACTGTATATATATCTGAGTCATCCCCATTTAGAATATGTTGCTTCAGTCTGTAATCCATACTATGATAAGGATTTAAAACAAAAAGAACTAGTTCAGAGGAAAGCTAAGATCTTTCATAGTTTTAAATTTGATGCAAAGGGGTTACCATAAAATATAGAAATGAGGTCAGTGGATCTCAAACACTTTTAGGTTGGCATATATATATATATATATATATATATATATATATATATATATATATATATATATATATATATATATATATATATATATATATATATGTAATAATAATAAATATATATATATAAAATTGTTTACTTAACTTTGCTAATTTGAATTAAATAATTTTTTTATACAGAAAACAAACAGAAAAAAAATCAAATATGTAATTATGTGTATATATATATATATATATATATATATATATATATATATATATATATATATATATATATATATATACATATATATATATATATACATAATTATAAAGCTGTTTACTTAACTTTGCTAATTTGAATTAATGAATTTGAGCAATAAAGTTTCAAAAGGTTATACAAACTGTTAGTATTTTATATGTAAACTATTAAAAAATTATAAGAATAAATACGGTGTTAACCTACCCCAGATATCTGTGAAAGAAACATGTAGGCTCCACTAACGTCTGGCCATTCAAGATTTTTCCAGAAAATACATATCTAAATTATTAAGTTTTTATATAAACGTTTTTAAATTTTATAAACATAAATACAAATTAAACAAAAAATTAAATAAAATTGTTAAAAAAAATTAAACAAAAAATTAAATTAAACAAAAAAAATTAAACTAAAAATTAAATAAAAATGTTAAAAAAAAAGTTATGTTAATAAAAATGTTGACTAAAATCAATTGCCATGCAATTTAGCTACAATAAAGTAAGGAGTTAAGGAGCAAGAAAATGTTTAAGACAAAAAAAAAATTGTAAACTATATGAGAATTCCAAAATGCTAATGTTCAATTTAAAAACAAAACAGAAACAGATAAAATTGTTATGAGTATAAGGGAACGGTGACATCTTTAAGAATTACAACTTTTTCAAAATTCACCAGACTTATTAGCCCTTTGTGAAACTAATTTAGCTAATTCTTCGGATCTCAGTGTTGATGGTTATAATTCCGTATTTTGCTTAATTAGTCTCATGTCCAGATCTCCATTAGCCCCATGCTTGACCTGGACATATACTTATGTATCAATTCATCTATTTTTTATATCATGAAAGTTTTTTTATTTTTTATTCATCATTTTTCATGAAAGTTTTAGTCCTCTGACTATAATTTTATAAACTTCCATTCAACGCTCATTCATTCATTTCCTTTCTAATTGTTCTTTATCAATCTTCTTCTCATCGAGATTGCACTCTTTTAGATGTAATTTCTAATCTAATTGATAAAACTTTACTCTTCATCCATCACTCAATATTATAGTTATTGGTAACTTTATTGCTCATGAGGGTGAATGGCTTGGATATACCATAATGAATGGATATACCATAATAAATGCATATACCACACTGCTGAATGGATATACGGCACTGCTATACACTCTGCTTGCACTAGAGTTCGTAACTTTTGTTCTCAATATTTGACTCAGATATTTAACTTTTATCTTTCAGACAACCCTAATCACTCCTTCACTTCTTGATTTGTGTGTCTGACCCTTGTTTTGTACTTATTCTTCAAACTGATCATATCAAGCCATATTCTACTCCATGATTTTCTTCAAACTGATCATATCAAGCCATATTCTACCCCATGATTTTCAGGATTTTTCATTGGTTTGTTGTTTCATTTCATGATTTTTCTTGTACAGCTGGTATTGTAATAATTTTTTTATTTTTTTCACAAAACAAACGTCTTTTTATTATTGCAAAAAAACTTTTCATTCAATTAGTTTTTTCCTTTGCACATCCATGCTTTAAAACTCTATCCAATCTTTATGTCTTCCCAACTCATACAACCTACAGTTTTTCTTCTTTCTCTACTGTTTTCTAGTTCTTTAACAATATTCTTTTTTTTCTGGAAACTCATAATTTAAACAGTGGTTGCTTGCAGGATTGTGAATTAGCTCAACAAAAAAAAGTAAATAAAAGCAACCTTGTAGAAAAACAAGTCAGACAAGTCAGCATTTTGGTTGGATCATAGTTTAATTGAGATAGGAAAATGACAGCATTAGTAGAAAAAAAAAATGCTTTCTTACAACAATCGGAAAAAGTCCTACTGTTGTAAAGAAGTAATTATTAGTTGTAAACAGAGTTTTGCTCAAGTTAAAAATCACTGCAAGCTCTCACAGAAGATCAAATTCAGGATTAGTTTCCTAAACTAAGTATATTGTATTGTGGAGAACTGTTTGTTTCATTAGCAAGAGCCACTTTGGAGGTAAGATTTTCAGTAAGATCATTAATACAAATGAGAAATAACACAGAACTAACTATAGAATCTTATGTTACCTCAGAGGTTATTGGAAAAGAAAGAGAGTGTTGTCCACCAAGGACAGCTATTATACTGTTATTAGAAAAAAATGATTTAATAATTTTAAAACAGTCTCAGATACACCACATGAAGAGAGTTAATGGAAAAGACTAACATGTCTTTATCTAAAAAAAATTTCAAATGCATTAGTTCTTGCCTTACTGAATCCATCTAATTCACAATAGAACCTTTCTTTTTTTACAACTAACTAATCTGCACGAAAAAATAAAAATCTGCAATTTTCAAGACTTATAATAAGATTTAGATTAAAATTAAAAATGAAAAATTTCTATTAATGGTAAAAAAAACTTATTAGGAAGTAATTAGAAATCATTGGGATTTTTAAAGTTAAGTTTTAAAAAAAAACAAATAACATGTGCCACTTTATGTTTACTATCAAAATCTTTATTACTCCTATAGTCTTTGTAACTCTCTAAAGTACTTCAGGAGGCCTTCTGCAAGACAGTAGCCAAATTCAGTTTACATCTGCCTAAGTTGAGTATTTTTATTAAGACACTATCTGTTGCCTTTACTTAACCTCTCTCTAATAAAAAAATACTATTTAATTAATGCACTAATTCTAATTCTCAAACAAACTCTCAAACTCAAACAAAAGAACTAAGGTAAAGAAATATCATATGTCAGAGTTAGTTTTACCTAGCTTTTTCTTAGAAAAATGAGTCCTGCAAATGCAGGACATATGTCAGTTCATACTGGACTTTATCCTATTAACGGGTGGTCACTAAAAATCCAGACTTTAACTGACTTTCAAATGCCATAAACTAAACTTTTTTTTTTTATTCTTGTATTCATTTTAAAGCTTATTTAATTCTCTATAAGTTAACTTGTTTTTAAATAATTAATAAAAATTAAGATAATAATGATGTCCAAGCAAGAAGAGATTAGGAAACGGATTTACGAGTTCTATTTAAATAATAATATGCAAGGTAAAAAGTTCACAGTAGAACACTTCAATGCTGAACAAATTCCAAGAACCACTATCTATGATATAATCAAATGTGCTGAGAATGATTTTGGACACAAAAGAGTGCAAAGAAGTGGTCGTGTAGCCAAAATCATGACCCCGAAGGTGATCAAGCATCTAAGAACCATATTTGACCACAGTGACCAAGTTTTGATGAGGCAAGCCGGTGCCGGTCGAAAATTTGGATGCAGTAATTCACATATTGTTAAAACTCTTGCCAAGTACACTGACATCAAAACTTATACAAAACAGGGTACACCTGATCAACAAGAGAGCCAGATTGAGTGAATCAAAACCGGCATTGATCGTCTTTATCACGAGTTTCAAGGAAAACCTGTTATCCTTGACAACGAATCTTACTTCACGCTGTCACACTCAACGATAAACAGAAACAGCACCTACTACTCTAGCGACAGAAACAAAAACCGAAGCTGCTTGTCTGGCTAGCCACTTCTAACAAAGATATTTCCAAGCCATTTTTTGTCCCCAGCGGCCTTGCAGTCAATAAAGCCATCTACGAAATGGATTGTATTAAGAGAAAATTAGTACCATTTATCAATACTCATCATGCCGATGGTAATTATGTATTTTGGCTAGACCTGGCCTCATTGCATTGCCAAAACCGTGACCAACTGCTATGAGCCTCACAAAATCAATTTTGCCAAAAAAGTTGACAATTCGTCAGCCAAACCGGATTGTCGCCCAATCGAAGATTTGGGCTATATTGAAAGGTAAAGTGTATAAGGGTAACTGGCAAGCAAAAAACATGAAGCAATTACAAACCAGAATAAAGCTTTGTCTGAAAATATTTACCTTAACCTTGTATTTTCATTTTTTGGGTCAACTCGCCTTCGAGTTATTCGAATCTGAAGACACAGACTGCTTGAGGACAAACTTAATTAAATAAATAACTAAAAACTCTATTTGATATTTTTTTTAAATCTCTACCTTAAAAACTATGGGAGTAATGACCTTGAAAGTATGTCCGGATTTTTAGTAACCACCTGTTAGTAACAGGCTAATCATAATAATCCAGATTGTAAGCTAAAATACCATCAACTGCATAAAATACCCGGGGCCAATACAAAACTTTAGGAACCACACAAAATACCAGAAACTGCAACATAAATTAAGAATCATATAAATAACTTAATAAACTATCAATATAAAACATTAGTGACTATACAAAAATATCATAAGGAACTGTATGTTATAGTATTTATTAGAGTTAACTTGTATTTTATTTTAGTAAAGATAATAGTAATCTATTTGTTGCCATAATTTGTATTTTTAGTTACCCTTATTTAAAATAATCATAACTGAGAACAAATAAGAATTAGAAAAAATTTTTTGTTGAAAAAAAAACAAGTCATGTTTTTTTGACCAATTATACGTTTATATAAAATGTTTATAATTTTCAATTCTAATTATTATAATATAAACACTTATGTTTTATATAAATATAAACAATTATGTTTTATATAAATATATTTTGTATATTATAGATTTAATATTGTTTAAATATATGTTTAAATAATATGTTTTGCATATTATAGTAATAATATTGTTATAAATATGTCTTAAATATTAAAGTTTTAACTAATGTACCATTTCTTAAGTTTTCTTTGTGCTGTAGCATATATAGATATACATTTACCAACCTTTTTTTGCTGATTTATATCCACACAGTTTTGAGGAAAAAAAAAAAGAATAATGAAAAAAAGAATAATGAAAAAAAGAGTAATGAAAAATAATTGATGCAGCTGCATGTTCTCCCTAATAATAAGTCAATTAGTCAGTCAATACTGAGACCTTCACAGCTCCCTATTTCAGTGGGGCATCATTCTGACTAGCTAAATAGGCATTATTATTTATAAATATTTTTTTAAAGTCAAGAAATGTATATCTACATATGCTAAGATAGATATACAGTGCAATCAATTAAAATAATTATAATAACTGTTCAATATGGACTTTATTCTGTTCTGTAATCATAACCGATCTTATTTGAATTTCAGAAAAAACGATACAACATACAGGGTCACGGGTAATTGAATTTAGTACATTTATTATTGCTTACTTTAAATCTTCAATATTGGTTATCTTTTGTTGTTTAACATATGTTATACTTTCTGTTTAATAAATCCCCATTAAAAAAATCACATGGTGTCATACATGGGGATCAAATTCAATTGAACCTTGTCAACCAATCCATCTCTCTAGGAACATCTCATTTAACCAAGCTCTAACATCAGAAGTGTAATGTGCAGGAGTTCCATCTTGTTGATAATAGATTTGTCCGACAATGCACTTTTGAATCAATACTGGATAAAAAAATTCTTTAGCATCTTGAGGAAGTTTTGGCTGTTAGTAGTTAGTTCCTAAAAAAAGTATAGTCCTACAACACAGTTTGTAGCGCACCAAACATTTTGGAAACACCAAGCTTTTGGAATACTCTTCCACAGTATTTAGTTTTTAGTTTCACAGTATTTAGTGACTTAACAGTTCTGCTCATGAACTCTACTGAAAATGAACTCGACCAAAAAAAAGATTTCATCAAAAAAAAAAAAAAAATCTAAAGTATTCCTCATATAATTTCTGGTATATTCAGATTTTATATTAGGAAACATTTATGAATGGAAAATATTATTAATGTTCCCTCTGAATACATTTACTTTTGCAGAATGCTTGGTTACTGTTGCCTTAGGCTTGTCAACCAGAAAATTGCTTCTCGATTTTGTGTGTTTTCACTGTTTGCTTTGACCTTGGTTTTCAACTGATCCCATGAAAACAGTTATAAATTGTAGTTATTTTAGTTATTAGCTTTTTCTTGTTTCAGGCATCTCATAACTTCAACTGCATTTTTGAATTTTGCCATTAATACAACAAAGTCTGAGATTTAAACCCAAAGGCATGATTCAATTTAATATTATTTTAAAATGAATGCTATTTCTGTATAATATAATATTATATGGCAAATTTAAAATCAGATAGACTTTAAATTTGCCGTATATATAAAAGTTTACTTTTTTGCATAAACTTTTTGAACAAACTGTGCATATAAAGTTGTATATAAAATATACTAATTTCCTACCTGCCCCAAACAACAAGTTACATCAACAGCTGATGTGGAATGTTTGACCATGGAATCAATAACACGTACCTAAATATTATCACAAAAAATTTAAAGAATAAGCTTAAACATTTGAAACACTTAATAATACATCAGAAATCAATTAAATCAAACTTTGTAAAAATCTTTTTTACAACAAATAATAAAGATAAAAAATAAGCTCATAAAAATTAATCTTGACTAAATCCAGTTACTGCTCACAACAGATAAAATATCCAAAACTATAGTTTTATTATAAAAAAGAGCAAAGGGGCAGAGAGGTTGTAAGTATAACTATACCTAGCAGTAACCAACCAGGCCAATTTTTTTATTCTAAAGTAAAGAACTATTTTATCACTATTTATTAATTTTGATAACAAAAACAAAACCTCATCAATTAGAACAGCTTTTTCAATCCGTTGTTCTGCTTTTAATGTAGCAATATCTAACCATTTAATAACACCTTTTTTAAACCAATCGCAATAGCTGTCAAGTCCTCCTTTGCGTGTATTTCTAAAGTTTAAAAGTAAAAATAAAAAAACGTGAACATTTTTTATTAACGATAAAGTGCTTTTTTAATTTTTGTAGATTCAAAACTTGAATAATTTTGTAAGGCCTAATTTTCAATATTTAGCAAAAAATACAAAAAAAAAAAGTGTACTTACTCTTGTGGAATACTCTTCTTGAAAGAATGCAAATGCCGCACAGCAATAAATAGTTCAAACATAGCTGTTCCAAACTCTTGACTACCTTTTGCAATAAGCTCACCTTCTGATTTCAATGCACAAGTTTCAACTATTTCAGACAACTATAAGTAGTAACACAACCATAAGTTAGTTTTTATTATGTTGATAATAAAATTAATGTTGCAGTTAAAGTAAAAAATTGTCATTTTTATTGACAACAAAAATAATGTTAACAACAACATAAATGCAGTTGCTGTTTGCAACCAATAAAAATGCTATATCTACCAACAACGTAAAATATAATCAAACTGTTTAAAAAAATTACTTACTAGTAACTCAATCTTGTTAAACACAACAGCATTGTAGTCTATTTCTACTCTTAAAAAAAAAAAGAAACCATGTCCAAATAAATGTTGATAACAGCTACACATACAAAACACAACATAACTATGAAACTATAATATAACATACTACTACAGGCTTTCCCAGGAAAGGCATGTGATCGCACGCCATGTTTGTCCACACATAGAATAAATTTTTCAGAAAACGTGAACGCGGCAATATTTCGTAAGAAAGCGGAAATTATCCACAGAGAATAAAAAATAATATTAAAAAAATGAAACGAAGTCTAAACAAAGTATAAAATTGAAATTGGATGTAAGAAAAATATTTTGATAATAAAAAAAAAATAAAAAACAAAAAATTCTTGTAACAAAAAAAAAAAAGTCTTGAACATTTTTTCCAAAATTTTTATATTGTTTTTATACTACGAAATTTGATACAAGTCAAGGAAAAGATGACGATAAGTCATAAAGTTTTCACGAAAATAAAGACTTGATACGTAATTTATTCACAAACTTTATCCGACAATGTATTAAAAAACTGATTCATTATTTACGCTAGACAAATTTGGTTAAACTTTTTCATTTAATTTGGTTTTTACGAAGGTTTATGCAAAGGCAATGACTTTATTCCCCAAGAAAACAAATTGCTGTTTTAATTATTAAATATATTATTTGAGATTTTAAACATAACAAAATTTTAATGTAAAAAAAGTTCTTTCTCGACTTATTTTAAACTGATTATACTGAGTCAATGCTCGCCTTTTATTACGTTGAAATTATTCAATTGCATAATTTTGTAATTACGAAAGAAGTTAAAAAAATAATTGCATTGCTTCTGTTGTTATTGTTACAAAAACTGTTCCTTCGGGACATTATTATATATTAACACTCGTTCACAATGTCAATTATTGATTGCAAAATAAGCAACTCAATTGTTTGACAATAAAATTTTCTTTCATTTAAAAAAAAAAAACATATTTTACTAATAAATAGCAATCGTTTTCGTGTTTTCTTGCGTATCAATACATTCAAACATTAAAATCAATACATTTAAACATTTAAATGCATTTACGAAACATTTAAAAATTGTTTATAGTTCTATCGTGAATTTTAAAGTATTACTGACTGATAAAAGTCATAAACAAATTTTACATTAAAAGGTCCTTTTATTTTCTTTAAACATTAATTTTTTTCTTTTTGATTTGATTTTTCTTATTGATTTGATTTTTCATAGTTTAAATAACTACCACCCTAAAAAAATAAATAAATAAAATATAGGTGAATTTTTTTTTTAATAATATACATTAATTTTTTAATTTTAAAGCACAAACAGATTTCTGTTATTTACTTTAAGAAGGCTTGCATTTTTGCGGTATTTTCGTTTAGCTTTGTTTTAGCGCGAATTCTTGAAACACATAATAATAAAACGTGGTCAGTTAGTCAGAAAAATTTATTCTATACGTGGACAAACAAGGCGTGCTGTCGCACGCCTTTCCTGGGAAAGCCTGCTACTACATAATATAACATACTACTACATAATATAACATAACAAAATGTTTTCACATGACAAAAATAGAGAAAAATAAAATTACTTGAATAATTTAATAATTAATTTTGAAAATAATAATCATAATCATCATCACCACATCATGGTGATTATGATCAAGATTTTAATGGCTATAAAAAAAAAAATGATTTAAAAAAAAAAATCGATAACAACTATAAAAAAAAAACTGTAAACAAATTAGCTCTAATCTAATAAGGCTACACTCCTAAAACATTTTGATGCTTTTTGTCACTTTTTAATACACCTCCAGCTTATTTTAATCTCTTGTAACTTATTTCAAAAAAAAACTACAAAACCAATTCAAAAAATGATTTCATATTTTTCAAAATCATTAAATGTTGAAGACCTCAAATTCAAAATTTTAGCATTTTTAAAGAATATAATAAACAGTAGTTTTATATTATAATAATAACCATTGAACAATGCAAGTCTTTTTAGGAACTTTAAACTTTTACCCTTAAAAATTACTTAAGTTAAGAGCTTTTAATAATTTTTAAAAAAGTGAAATAAAACATAAAAATTACATTTATTGACTAACATTTGAAACACAGGTTTATAATCTGATGCGCCTATTTTCAAATCAGCAATGATGGTGTTGGTCAACTGTACTAACTTTTTAAGTTCATCTAATGGCGTCTAAAATATAGTAAAACATAATAAGGACTATTTTTAATTTCAATATACAAATGCTTTCAATATGATTGTATACAAAGTAAAATTGTTTTAATAAATTATCAACAATTAAATTAGATAAAGCAACAGTGTCATAATAATGTCATAATAAATGATAAACAAATAAATCAAATAAAACAGTGGATTAACTTATTTTAACAACTGATTAACAAATAAATCAAATAAAACAACAAATAAATCAAATAAAACAACAAATAAATCAAATAAAACAACAAATAAATCAAATAAAACAACAAATAAATCAAATAAAACAGTGGATTATCTTATCATAAAAATTGATTAACAAATAAATCAAATAAAAGAACAAATAAATCAAATAAAACAGTGAATTATTTTGTCATAATAAATGATTAACAAATAAATCAAATAAAACAACAGTTGATTATCTTGTCATAAATGATTAACAAGCATATCAAATAAAACAACAGCGGATTATCATGTCTCAATTAATTATTACCAAGTACAGTGTTTCATAGGAAAATGTGCGATCATACTTCATCGTATGACCAAGCAAATAACACTTTGCTTTGACGATTTGACTGCAGCTATTTCATAAAACATTTCAAAATTGCACTGAATGAAAAATATTCTGAGTTATACCTTAGGAGAAATAAATTACATCGAAACTTCTTAACAAATGTTTTTATATTAGCAAAATGCTTTTAGTAAAGTAACAATTTAATAAGAATGGCTTTTCTTTAAGGTATTATTTACAGTTGTTTATAATTTTTTTAAGTTATGTTTTTAAAAGCAGCTACAATTAAATAAAGTTGATCTTTAATGCTTTTATATTACTGAACCACTTTTTAATGAAGTAACGAAACACTTCTAATGAATTTTTATATTAAGTATTAATAAACTGTTGTTTATTTTATTAATATAATTATATATTTTTTATGATAAATGTTAATCTTTTAAAACATATTTTAAAAAAAATAAGTACAAATGTTAAAACAAAAACTGAAATGGTTATTTTTTAACAGTAGAGTTAGTTTTTTATAAAAACATAAGTTTCTATTTACATAGAAACTTATGTTTTTATAAAAAAACACTTTAATTTAAATTAAGTGTGAATATTTTTTAAATAATCATTAAAAGTAAATTGTTCTTTTTTTTTAAGGGTTTTCGACAATATAAACATTAATAAAGGTATTCTGAACATAATTAAAAACATGATTATATGTATATATATGTATATATATACGTACATATATATATGTATATATATACGTATATATATATATATATATATATATATATATATATATATATATATATATATATATATATATATATATATATAAAAATATATATATATATATATATATATATATATATATATATATATATATATATATATATACGTATATATATACGTACATATATATATATATATATATATATATATATATATATATATATATATATATATATATATATATATATATATATATATATATATATGTATATATATATATATATATATATATATATATATATATATATATATATATATATATATATATATTCGAGAGTAGCAATCATAATATTTGACATTCTTTAAGCTATTAAAAATAAACCAAAAATGTAAATGACTTGAAACTTTGTAAATGTGAAATACTATCACATAATTTAGTATTTAAAAGTTACAGCATTAAAGCGTTTAACTTTTTTCAAAAAGTAGCTCTACGTAGCATGACCGTCATAACACTTACTTTTTACCACTTCTGAATAATACAACTTTGTCAGACTTAATGCAGCAACATGGTTAAAAAAAAAAATTATTTGGTGTGTATATTTAGCATATATTGATGCTATTATATGCTGAGTTTTTAATTAAAGTTTTACAAGCATTTTTATGTTTTTCCTATTGTGACAGTCATAACTGTGACAGTCATAATGAAAAATCCAATGCTTAAAAACAACAAATAAAACAATGCAACCAATGATGTAAGAAAAAAAAGTGTAAATGATTATTAACAACCATGTATATTATGTTAAAAAAAAGCACTATAACATTATCAAAATATGAATATACAATATAATTTTAATGCTACACAGCAAGACTGTAAATAAAGCGTCAAAACACACCCAACCCTTTTTTAATAACATTTTTGCTTAAAAGTACTTTTAAATAGTTAAAAAAAGAGTTATAGAGTTTAGTATGTGTTTTAATAACTTTTTTATTTTTCTTTATTTTTTTTCCTTTTTCTCATGGGATTGCCCATATACAGTTAGAGAAATAAGTATCGGAAACAAAACATTTTATTATGGAAAATAAACTTTGTCAGGTTATTTCAGAAAAAAATAACTTTATAAAAATAAAAAAAATCATTATTCTGAAAGAAAATTTAATCACAAATTCAATATGTAAAAAAAATATCAATAATAAAGATATATTTAAACTTAGCAATTTTTTAGCATTAAATTATTTTAAATTATTTTAAATCTAAACAAAATTTTAAAGATAATGGCTTAAAGATTAACGCTTCTCTGAGTAATTATTTTTAATATCAAGTTGGACCGCCTTTAGCTTTTATGACTTGTGCAAGTGAACATGGCATCGATTCAACTAATTTCTTAGTCGTATCTGAGTTGATTTCAGCCCAAGCTTTTTGGAGCATGATCTTTAGCTTTTCTTTTCTTTTTAGACATCGTGTGCCACATTTTTTATCCAGAGATGTTCAATTGTATTGGAGATCTGGACTTTGCGCTGGTCATTTGAGTAACTCAATTTGCATTTGGATAAAAAACTATTTTACTTTCTTTGACATACATTTAGGGTCATTGTCTTGTTGGTAGATAAAATGTTTTCCTAATCGCAGTTTTTAACATAAACTTCAGAGTCAATAATTCCATCAATAAACTCTGGTTTTCCTGTTTCGTTTTAAGCCATTGATCCCCATACCATAACATTGCCTCCACTAAATTTTACTGTGCCTTGAATACAACCGAGTGTGAACGCTTCACCTTTTTTTCTCCACACATTTTGAGCTTTATCAGACTTCACAAGATTAAATTTTGAGCCATCTGTCTACAAAACTTTCCTCCAGAATGATACCAGCATATTTACATATTTCTTAGCAAATGCAAGTCTTCGTTTTCAATGGATTTTTGAAAGGATTGGTTTCTTGTTTGGAACTCTTGCATTGAACCTACTTCCTTTCAATCGATTTTGAACAGTACATGAGCTCACTTGTAACCCAAAATCTTTCTCAAAGAGGCTTGACACTTTTGGTGCTGATAAAAAGCGGTTTTTTTGCACCATCTTGACAATTTTTTGATCTATTCTTGATGTTGTTTTACGCTTAGCTCAGGATCTTGGCTGATTTTGCACATTTTTTTAATAATCATTTTCAAAACTTCGTTTACAAAACAACATGTTTAAATAATCATTTTTTGTTGAAGTTTTTACACTTCTTTGGGAATTATTAAATTTTAGCAATGTAAGTTAATTATATTTTGCAATATATAAAATCGTGATTAAACTTGCTTTTAGAACAATTATAAAAGTATTTATCAAAAACATGTTTTTCTGAAAAAACCTGACAAAGTTTATTTTTCACAATACAATGTTTTGTTCGGATACTTATTTCTCTGACTCTGTGTGTGTGTGTGTGTGTGTGTGTGTGTGTATGTGTGTGTGTATGTGTGTATATATACAGATATATATATATATATATATATATATATATATATATATATATATATATATATATATATATATATATATATATATATATATATATATATATATATATATATATATTAGATATATATATATATATATATATATATATATATATATATATAGAGTGGGTCATAAAATTTTTTTTTAGAGTTGCTAACCTGGCTATGGCCTAGAAAGTTGTTTTTTTATGTACTAATTTAGGAAAGTATTTACTTTTATGGATTGAACAATGTCTTCCACCCGCAACTTTAATTACAAAAATTAGCAGGCCCTATTATTATTCGAAAAAGAAGTTTTTCAAATTTATGTGATGTTGGTACTCAAATAAAGCGAAATTTTATAAAAATTTCAAAAATAATAATTTTTTCATATAAAAAGTATTATTTTAGATTTTATTGCAAAATAACTATGGTTTTTAAACTAAAATGAAAAAGGTGTTTTTTTACAAGTTTTTTAATAACATTTTTCTTCAGCAATATGATTTTTTTTTAACAATTATTATTTTTGAATTTTTTATAAAATTTTGCTTCTTTTGAGTACTAGGTTGACCTACTTTTGAAAAACTTTTTTTCTTTAAAATATTAGGGAACCGGTAATTTTCCCAATAAAGTTGGGCCCTTTAAATCTATCACAATCATTCTCATATTTGATAGTATCACTATTAATAACTATACACAGTGTTTACAGCCTGTAACAAGAAAAAATTTTATGACCCGCGCTAATACATACATACATATATATATATATATATATATATATATATATATATATATATATATATATCAGAGTGTTAGCTAGCCTGATGGCACCGCGTATAACGCGGTATTTCCAATTTGTTTAAGTTTCCCAAAACTGAATTATCTTTTTTTTTTTTTGTAATAATAAGACAATTTAATTAAAGTTTCCCAATATTTTTTAGAAAGTCCTTTTAGTGCATTTTTAAATTTTGAAAACATGTTAAAAGCTGTGGTCAAATCGTCAAAACAAAGTATTTTTTGCGTGACCATATATTGGTGTGTGATCACATGTCTTCCTGTGAAACACTGAAGTATATCTAATGAAACAACAGTGGATTATTTTGTAATAATAAATGATTAACAAATAAATCAAATAAAACAACAGTGGATTATCTTGTCATATTAAATGATTAACAAATAAATGAAATAAAACAACAGCGGAGTATCTATTCATAATACAGTGGCTTTTTAAGGTCTTAATAAAAATTCAAGGTAACTTTTTTTGGCATTAACATAATACCAATCAATACCTTTTTTATTGAGATGCCTTCTAACTGTGCTATAACTGACACTAATTAACTCAGTCTTATTACTAAACTCAGCTAACAGTTCTTGGTAGCTAATTTTAGGCTCTTCTCTTACCCTTTGATACAATGAGCTTTGATCCCTAAAATAAAATTTTGATGGCCTGCCAACTTTTGGTGAATCTTTTACATCATTTGAAAACTTGTAGTTTTTTAGCGCTATTTGGACACAGCATAATAAAAAATTGCATATTCTTGCTATTTCTTATTGATTTCAACATTATTTGGACACAGCTTAGTGAAAGAGCACATAATCTCGTAATTTCTTAAAGACGTTTTGAGTTATCTTTTGATAGACTGCCTATTTGCATTTTGACTTCTTGTGATACTGATTTTCTGCCCATTTTTTTCAGGTGTGCCAAGAACTTACCAATTTAAATATCTCTCTAAGTACTATTTAGAAATTTTTTCTTTCGAATTTATATGTAATTTATTTAACTCAAAACTTAAACTTTAAAAATTTTTATATAATATATAGTTATTAACTTTAAATTAAGTGACCTTATAATTTTGACACATTTTTAAATAAGAAATTAATAGGGTTGCTTTACTTTACCTTTAAATTACTCCTTCAAAAAAATTAGATGATTAAACAGTTAATTATTTATCTATTTAATAAAAATATTAATTAAGAGATAATTGAATAAAAGTATTATTTAAGAGATAATTAAAAGATAAGCTGTCAAAAAAAAAAAAAAAAATACAAATGACCTTATATATTATTTGATTTATTTGTTAAATGATTAACAAATAAAACAACAGCAGATAATCTTGTCATTATTAATGATCAACAAAAAGAAAAAAAAAATCATACTTGAGAAACTGACTGATAAAATGCTTCAGTGAGAAAAAACCACTCTGTTGTACTTTTCTGAAGTATAATTAATTTTATTTATTCATTCAATGAAACTATTTTACTTAATTATTTGTAAAAAATTACTAAAAACATATACTTGCCTCAATTTCATCAGCAACTCGCTTGGAAAGTTGCTTATGAGGAAACTTGTTTGCATAAACTGGAAGTTTGTGAATTTTGTCTAGACACCTAAAAATAATAAAATACTATTTATAGTCAAACAACAACTCAGTACAAAATATTTTTGACTCTTTCTGTCTTGTCTTGTTTGAAAAAATTTGCTATAAAACTGTTAATTTATAGAGTTCTTTAATTTATTTTTTTGGGATTTAATGAATATAAATTGGTTTGTAAACTCTTGTTGTCAAAGTTTTTTTGAAAAAATAGTAGAATTAAATCATTTTTAAAATTTTTCCAAGATTCAAATGTATTTTTACTAAACTCCCTTAGATTATCAAAACAGCTACATCTTCGAAAAAAAGACACAATTTATTTAAAAAATAATGTAAAATAAAGTAAAATAATAAATACATAAGTAATTGAGTTAGTTGCAATATTTTATCAGGATTTCCTGCAGAAAATATGTATCGGTATTTGCTTAACAGATGTTCGCCATGGTTACAGAATGTTTCCAATGAAATTAAAAAATCTTCATTTTCCTACATTTATTAAATTATTTGTTTAATTAATAAAAATCAAGAAAAAACATCTTTAGTTCAACTTAAAAAAAAAATTGAATAAAAAAAAAAACTTTTTTTTATTCAAGATTATTAGCTGAATTAAAAAAAATTATATTTTATTTAAAATACCTTTTCTGATAACTCATCTAAACAACTTTCCTCACTATATATCAAGAGAAGATCAATAAGTTTTTTATAAGATAACAATGTTTTTTGGCACAGGTAGCTATATACTTTCCATTGTCTGTAAATAAATGAGAAAAACCTTCATTTACTTTGATTATATTTATTACACTTAAAAATTCCATATTTATATTTATCAATAATTTAAGTTCTAATAAATGAAGTTGGCCACATGTATGCCAATAATCAAAAAAGTAATAAAAATTATAGATAAGGATTCATTGATAATCAAGTTAATTGATTAAAGATGAATGGTTATTATAAAAAAAATTATGAAACAATTTATACACAACAATTTGTTGGAGTTTAGACACTTCATGCTGCACACAGTACTGTTTAAGTACTATTTCTGCTTTATCCATGATTGCACCATCCCAATATTTTCCTGGCTAATAAAAAGGTGAAAAAACTTTCTTATTTTCATAACCAAAAAGACAATCCAACTTAAATTAAATATAACATTTATTCTTAAAACTTAAAGAAATAAAAACAAAGCAAAAATTTCATTAAGTGAAAGCAAAGACAACGAGAATAAATTTTATAGTTATAAACCACAAAAAATATGAAATAAGCAAACACAGTAACTAACTTTCAAATTAAATATACTTACTTCAAAGTCTATGTTTCGTTGGCAATCATATCGAACAAAATAATTGAGGAACTCATCATAAATTTGATCTGAGGTAAGGGTAGAATTGTTACCAAAGTCCTATAAAGATAAGTTTACAGTAATAAATATGAAACATTTAGTTGTTTAAACTGATCTTTCTTGGAAACCGAATATCAAATTGATTTCAAAATTAGCATCTGCTAAGGTTGCATCTCTTTATCGTGCTCACCACTCTCTTACTCTGGATTCTATTCTTTATCTCTATAAATCTCAAATCTGTCCTTGTATGGAATACTGTTGTCATATCTGGGGCGGATCTTCCAATGATGCCCTTTCTTTTTTAGACTGGGTGCTAAATCACATTGTGAACATAGTTCGACCTGCTCTTGAAGCCAACCTCCAACCACTATCACATCGTCATAATGTTGCTTTTCTTTCTCTTTTCTATAAATACCATAATGGCACTGTTCTAAAGAGCTAGTGTCTCTTGTGCCATCTATTGAATTTCATTCTCATGTTACTCGTCATACAATTAAGTCTTCTTTTACTGTGACTGTTCCTAAGTGCTCCAAAAGTTTTTATTTGTCCAAGTTTTTTTCTTAAATATCAGTTCTTTAGAATTCGCTTTCTTCATCTTGTTTTCCAGCTTAATTTATACTGTATATTTAAGTAAGTCTGACATCATATTGAACTAGCCAGCTGCTGGGGGCTTCAGTGAATAACTCTACTGACTATCTAGGTAGAACATGCAAAGGAGTGCTGCTACATCTAATATTACTCTTTAAAGATGATTTAACAATAATCACGGCATGTCAAAAAATTTTTAGCTATTGCATATAAGTCTCACAGCAAAAGTTTAAAACAATGCATGTATGGTTCACTGCATATTTGCCAATTAATTAAACTTATGTACACATCATCATATGATTTTAAATGATCAGTGTAAACTTAAAAAAGTAAAAAGTTTAAATACTGTTTTGAAAAGAAAATTATATTTTTAATATATTGTTGCAAGAAAATAAATACAAACTATCACTACCTTCAATGTAATCATTGCCTAAACCTTTTTAATAAAAAATGCTGTCATCTGAATGATATGGAATTTAGGATATTGAAAAACGTTAAAACATCTTGGTTCTGTATTTCATGTAGAAAATATATTTTTCCATTTAGTTCTTTATCTGATAAGGAGCTGTGTCTGCAAACAATAAATGATAAAGTGATTCATATTAATGAACTCTCAAACAACATATTACTTTTCCTAACACTATAGGCTCTAATTTTTAACAATGAACTTAATGACTTCGTTTCCCGTCAACTTTATAACAACAATGATATTGATGTAAACCTCGAAGAAAACCCTATTCATTCTAAATACACGGACATAGAATGTTTCAACTCTGCCAACATCGATAAAAATAATTTTTCATTTAAACATTGCTTCTCTTATTAAAAATTTTGATTAATTAAACTCACTTTTATCTCTTATTAACCATTAGGGTGGTTCTTAAAACAACTTTTTTGAGAAAAACCTGCTCTTACCCCCTAAATGTATTCTATCTAATACAAAAACACTAGGTTTAAAATTTTTTTGAACAAAAAATATTTTTAGGGGTAACTCAAGGCCTTCAAAAATTTGATGGGTCGCTAATATTTTGAAAAAAAAAGTTCTTCTAAAGTATGTTAACCTGGTACTCAAAAGAAGCGATATTATATAAAAACTTCAAAAGTATTTTACATTGCTAGTTTACAACATGCATCTATTAGAATAATGACATTTTCACCAATCAGATCTGATATCCAAAAAAATTTTCTGAACTAAAAATCCTAAAACTTTGTGATCTTGCAAAGTTTTACAATCGTCTTTTTGTGTTTGACTTTCTCCAAAATAAACTACCAAACTCTTTTTTAAACTTTTTTTATTAAAACAAATGAAACTCATAATCATCACACCAGGAATACAGAAAATAGTAAGCTATACTCTTCTTTTTTCAATACAATTAAATATGGTAAGTTTTCCATAAAAAAACAATGTATTTCCCAATGGAACCAGTGTACTCCTGCATTAATAAAAAAAGTCTAAAAAAATAACTTGTCTATAATTTCTTTAACTAACGAGTGGTTTGATTTTTGCTTTATTAATTATTTATCTATATCATATTTATTTATTATTGTGTTATTATTGCTACATTTTATGTTATTATTACTTTTAATTATTATCTATGATATGCACATACAATTGATATTGTATTATAATTATTCTTAATATTATTGATACTTTATTATTATTGTGA